TAGTTGAGAAATATGAAATTCTTTTTTGGGGTGATAGACATGTTCTAGAATTAGGGGCACCTGGGTGGCTTAGTGGGTTAAGCCTCTGCCTTCGGCTCGGGTCATGATCTCAGGGTCCTCGGATCGAGCCCCGCATCGGGCTCTGGATTCAGCGGGGAGCCTGCTCCCCACCTCAACCCCCACCACCTGCCTCTCTGCCTGCTTGTGATCTCTGTCAAATAAATAAAATCTTAAAAAAAAAAAAAGAAATGTTCTAGAATTAAATAGTGGTAAGGGTTGTACCAAGTGTGCCATTTAACTGTATGCTTTAAAGGCATTGGGACACCTGGGTGGCTCAGTCAGTTAAGTGCTCAACCCTTGTTCTCAGCTCAGGTCATGATCTCGGGGTTGTAAGATCAAGCCCCACATCGGGCTCCATGCTCAGCTTGGAATCTGTTTGAGATTCTCTCAATCCTTTTCCCTCTCTCTCCCCTTCTTCTTCTCATCCTACTTGAGGGCTCTCTCTCTCTCACACATTAATAAATAAATAAACTAATTAATTAAATCTTTAAAGCCATTAAAACAATGAATTTTATGTTATGTAGATTTTATCTCAATTAAGAACTAAAGAAAAAAAGTAGAGAGCAGAACCTGAGGAGACTTTCAAAATATTTGCTCAAATGGTGAGGACTTCAAGGCTTTATTGAGGCCACACCCATTCTCAAAGACCTCACCTGCCTCCCTCACATGGCCTGACTTTGATCCAACAGTCTGACTTATCAAATTGAACCCGTGAGGGCAGAGACAAGTGGAGACAGTGGGTTTTCCCCCAGTCCTTCCCCTACTCTGCACACACTTCCTGGCAAGCAGGCAGAAAAGGAGTCTTCCTTCGATGGGTTCTGTGTCTATCTTCATTGAATGGAGGAGGCTTCAGGTCCCCCTCACTCTCTCTTTTTTTCTTCCCTGATGACACTCCTCAGTCCCCAGCATCTCCTTACTCCCTCTGTCCCTTGTTATGTGAACCTACTATTTTATAGAAAGGCAATAAAAAAAAAAATTCACTCCACAGATAAATGACTGACAAGTTTAACAAGAAGGGGCTTCTTGTATGCTAGGTCTCTGCAAATAAGGACAATGGAAGCTATGTTTTTCACTGCTGGGGAAGGGCATTGAAAAGATGGAGAGGGGGAGGGAGAGAATGACGCCAAGGATGATACAATGGAAGCAGAGGTATCAGTGATAGTACGTATGCAATCATTTAGAAACACTGACATACCAGGAGCAATGAGCAGACCTAGCAAAAACATTCCTTCTTGGAAAAGCAGCTGATTCTGGTCCTGGGGGAAAGAAAATAGAGCCTAGAACATCTTTGGGGGCCAGAAGGTAGCAAAGTGCTCAAAGAATCATGGAGGGAAGTTAAAAGGATGTAGGAGGCAGCTTGCAAGGGTTCACACTGGCCAAATCTGGAATAATTTGGCCAGTAATAGTGATAATGATGGATTGAATAAAATAAGAATCCATAAGTAAATGTTTTGAGTTGAATTGTGAGCCCCACCCTGCCTTACCTCCCACCAAAAAGAATGTATATTGGCGTCCTAATCACATTCTAGAATGTGATCTTATCTGGAGACAGGGTCTTTGTAGATACCAAGTTAAAATGGGGTCAGTAGGGTGGGCCGTAATCCACAATGACAGGTATCCCAATAGATAGGGGGGAAATGTGGACTTAGCCACTGATACGTACAGAGGGAAGATTTTGTGAAGACCCACAGAGAGAAGGTGGCCATGGACAAGCCAAGGAGAGAGGCCCAGAGCAGAGCCTTCCCTTGTAGTCTTGAGGAAGAATGATGCCTTGACCTTGATCTTCTAGCCTCCAGACTGTGAGACAGTACATTCCTTTTGTTTAAGCCCTGGGCAGTGCTACTTCCCTATAACAGCCCTAGCAGACCAACACAGGGGAAGCTCCATTTGCAGTAGGATTGCCACTTAATAAACAGAGAAAAATGGTAGAACTAGAAAATCTTCCAAGGATGCTAAAGCTCGAAGGTGAAAGTGTGATGGGAAATGGGGTATTTCCGTTGCCTCAATATGTCTCCCCACAAACTCCAGCTAATTATGAACAGAAAATCAGCAACTCGATAGTGAAGAAAACTAGAGGACATGAAAACAAAACAAAACGAAACCCTCATGTGAGTTTCCTAATAAGGTTCAAAACTGGATTGAGGGTCATGGAACGGCTATGGTTATGTTGAAATGTTCTAGTCCGAGAGCTGCCACTAACCAGCTGCTGAACTTGAGTAAATCAGTCGCTTCTCCCAAGCTTGGATTTCCTCATCTCTGAAATGTGCTGGAGTGGGGTGTAGACTCATGGGGTCATGAGAAGCCAGAGAAATTGTGGATGTGAGAGCTTTCAGTAAACTTCAAAGCATGGTGCAAATTCGAGTCTTCACCATCCAGTGGGAATCAGATAAGACAGAGGAATCAAGCTCACTTCAGGCATCAGACAGCAGAGGAGCAAATATATGGGGTCAGCGGGGCCTTTCTGGGCCCCTAAAATTGGATTCTCAAGGCAATCTGGCTCTGCTGGCTCTTGAGCAGGCTTCAATGAAGAAGGAAAATGACTTGGAATATGCAATATTGGGGTTGCCTTTTTCTTGAGATCTTGGGCTGGGTGACAGATAAATGGTTCAGGATTTTTTAAAAAAGATTTTATTTATTTATTCAACAGAGAAAGAGAGATCACAAGTAGGTAGAGAGTCAGGCAGAGGGGGAGGGGAAAGCAGGTTCCCCGCTGTGCAGAGAGCCCGATGTGGGGCTCGATCCCAGAACCTTGAGATCATGACCTGAGCCGAAGGCAGAGGCTTAACCACTGAGCCACCCAGGCACCCTGGTTTTTTGTTTGTTTGTTTGTTTTTGTTTGTTTTGTTTTGTTTTTTAGATTTTATTTCGTTATTTATTTCAGAGAGCAAGAGAAAGTTAAGAGGGAGGAGCAGAGGGGGAGAAACAGAGGAGGAGGGAGAGAGACAAATAGACTGTGCTGAACATGGAGCCTGGTTCGGGGCTCGATCTCACAACCCTGAGATCAGGACCTGAGCTGAAATCAAGGGTCAGAAGCTTAACTGACTGAGCCACCCAGGTGCCCCTCAGGATGGGTTTTAAGGGGTTGAAAAAATTTCTCCTTCCTCACCCTGCTAGTCTGATAACAGATCATGGACAATTATCTTCTAAATAATGGCCCCTTTGTTGAAAGGCAAATGTATTTCTTGGCAGGGATAAGGAATCCCTCACATAGACCTTCTAATAAAACTTAATCAAACCAGCCATCCAACCATCCACACATTCATTAGTTACTGCTGTATGCCAAGTGCCTTGCTCACCCGGGGCACACAAAGGGAATTATATACAGGGGCTGTCCTGGAGGTATTCACCCTGGGCCATGAGAGACAAAGGCAATTATGGTATAGATGGTAGATACCCACAGTGAGGAGGTACAACTGGCCATATTAGACAGCACAAGAACATTCTAGAAGAGGTGCCTCCTGAACTGATTAAGGCTGATTGAGGTGGGAAGGCCTAGGTGGGTAGCAGTGGAGACCTGGTAGAGCGGGGTGTTCCAGACCCTGGAAGTCACAAGTACAAGGTCAAAGAGGAGAGGTGAGTTGGTCAAGTCTGGAGTTTTGCAGAAATCACTCTGGCCACAGGCAGCCCGTGTAGGGAGACTGTTGTGAAGGCTATAGGAGGAATGCAGGGGGGGAGAGGGGGGGCCAAGGGGGGGGGGGGGGGGGGGATGGTATTGAGAACTACTCAGAAAGTGGATTCGAGAAGATTTGGTGCCCTGGTGGTTGAGGAAGGAGAAGGAGGTGGTGAGGATACCACTCAGGTTTCAAACTTGGGTGCATGGTAGAGATGGGGCCATTCGAGGAGGAGTAGAATCCACCAGGAAAAGCAGGTCAAGGTGAAAGCTACTTGGGGCTGTGGGGTCCAGAGTCCCAGGGGTTCTAGGGGAACCTTTGAGGATGCAGTGCCCAGAGGGATTGCACAGGTCAGATGCCCCTGCCCAGCCCAAGCACCAGGCATGGACAGCGTAGCTCCATGAAAACGGCACAGCCCTAGAGACTGAGTTCCTGAGTTTGTTCCCTGCTCCTACTTGCTTTCCCGGTGGCCCCAGGCAAGGTGTCGAACTTCTCGGAAGCACAGCCCATCTGCTATAAAATGGGGATGTGAAAGCCCATCTCCCAGGATGGTGGCGGGAAGGGGGCAGTCCTTGAGCCTCAACAAGGGGCTCTATCCCAGGCCTGCCTTCTGGAGACAAGCTGCCACCACACCAGGCCTAAATCCCTTCAGTTCTTTCCTTAAAGACCCACTTGGCTCCTTTGAACCCTTACTTGATCCTCTTTGGGTCCCCATTTCATGGGGGAAGAAACCGAGCCTCAGAGAGGCTGCCTGACTTGCTCAAGACCCCAAAGCCATAATGCAGCAGGGCTGGTCCTATGTCTTCCTAATAAAGAACCTGTACCTTGGCCACGGCACCAGGTGGGCCGGGGGTGCTGTGTTGTGGTGTTTCCAGCAGGCAGAGTCTCTTTCCTAAGTAGCTCTCCAGTGCATCCCTTCCTGTCGACCCTCCCTGCCACCCCATTTACTCCTTCCTGGATTCCTGTCCCAACCTCCTAACCAAAGGTGGCTGAAGATGGACAGAGGGTCTGGGGTTCGAAGCAGTGGAAATGACAGGAGGACAGATGAGCACAGGGGTGGAGAGCACAGGGGACTCGGGAAGGCAGGCTCGGGTTATCTATCGTTGCTTCCTGTGGTGCCTTCCCCCCTCGCCATCAAACACACACACAGTTGCAGAGGGCTGGGAACAGGGGATGGTCCTAGGAGCCACTGACCTAGAGATGACAAAGTGACAGCCTCAGTATGCAGTGCAGGAGTGTTTTCCCTCATTTATCAGATCTGGAGTGGCAAGGGGAGTGGGAGGAGAGGAGGGGCCTCCTGGGGCAAAGAAGGGAGCCTATACATCTTACCTTTGATTATCTTGGAAATTCGGGAGCCCAAGGTTCACAAGGACTTTTGAGAAGTTGGCTTCATGGCAATAGGCAGACTTCGACAGGTGCACACGCAGGAGGTGGGGGGCCGTCCCTACCAGGGAAGCACAGAGGGTCCATTGCCAGGATGGACTTCTCCCCTGCACACCCTAAACCTGGTCTTGGAAGGGGTGTGACCCTGAGCAGTGCAGGGGAGGATGGGTGGAAGCTATTAAGCAACTTGCCCTTTGGTCTCCTCATGGTATGGCTTGAAAGAGCTCAGTTTAGCAGGAACAGTAGAGGGAAAACAGCAGCTGGACCCAAGGGCACCGTTAACCAGCCAGCCTCGTCTGTGTGGTAAACCGGAAGAGCTGTAGACGAGAGGAGCCTCAAGGGTCCCCTTATATGCCTCAGTGTCATTGCTGCCTTCTAGATTTTGGAGATCCAAGGCAAAGAGAATCAGAATTAAGAGGCAGAACTCAAGGGGGAAGACATCAGATGGGCAAAGCAATCCAGAAACAGATCTGATCACCTTGGATGATAGTGAGACTCCCAGCAAGGGGGGCATGCAAATACCTCTTGTCAGAGTTCTGAGTAGGAAATTCAAGCTTCATATAAAGAAGTCCCACCCAGCTCTGGGGTTCTGGGATCTAGGGAAAGACTCGTTTTAGACTCAATGCCATTAGAGCTCAGAGTCCACTAAAAGAAAGATACATTGACATATAATTACACTATAGTGTGATAAGGCACATGGAGCAGAGGAGTTAAGAGCATGGCTGTTAGGCCTGGGCTCAGATCTAGGCTTTTCCAGCCTCCATTTTGTCATCTGGGAAGTGGGCATGAAACCTTCTCCTTCCCAGGGGTACAATGAAGACAGAGAGAGAGAACGACTGTACATGTTCCTGGTGTGGTGTCTAACCTGCAGTAAATGCCAATAATGGGAAGTCATTTCTAGGTACAAGGAAGGTACAAGGCACCCTCCTGCCAAGGGCTCTGGAATATGTGGTTCCGCATAGAGAAGGACAAGCAGGAGCTCCAGGGGGACAAAGGGTCAAGGGCATTCCAGGCCAAGGGGAAGAGCATGCGCAGGGAGAAACCCGATAAGCAGTGGGATGTGCTGAGTTCCAGAAGATGATGGGAAGAGATGAGGTTGAGAGGTTGGGCACAGGGGCTGGATAGCACATGGTGCCCCACCTGTCCTGTCCCAAATGCAACTGATGTAGCGTTCCTTCCTGTCCAGAGCAGACACCATCATCCTCCCTCCCCATATCGGATAATGGCTCTACTGTTCTTGATTCTATTTAACAACCCCTGGACCTCTCCATTCCTTCTCTGATTCATTCCTCTGCCTCCCAGCTTGACTCCCTCCGTGGTGTTCTGCACACAGGGACAAGAAAGGCCCTCTTAAGATGCAAACCAGGGGCACCTGGATGGCTCAGTGGGTTAAAGCCTCTGCCTTCAGCTTAGGTCATGATCCCAGGGTCCTGGGATCAAGCCCCACATCGAGCTCTCTGCTCAGCAGGAAGCCTGCTTCCTCCTCTCTCTCTGCCTGACTCTCTGCCTACTTGTGATCTCTCTCTGCCAAATAAATAAATAAAATCTTAAAAAAAAAAAAAGATGCAAACCAGTAAACCAGCCCTGGTCCCTCCCCTGCCCAAGACGCTTCGCTAGGAACCCATCACCCACAACTAACTTCATCTGTTCTCTCATCTCCATAATTTTGACCATTTGTGCCCACCACCCAATCTGTTATATACTTAATGGTTTTTAAAAAAATTGACTTCACCCAAAAATATCCCTGAAATTCCAGTTTTAGTATATTGGCTACATTTTCTCCAATATGCATTGAAATAAATCCACGAGTATTAAAGTAAACTGCTGTGTGTGTGTCTGTGTGTGTGTGTCTATCAGTTTGTAGCAGAAACTACGCATGGTCTACCCATATTCCCCTTTTCTTGCTAATTCAGGGCCTGCTGGCTGGACTTTCATCTGCCATCACCTGGCTGGCCCACCCCTAGGGGCCGGAGCGACCTACTGGAGAGGAGAACTCAGGAATTCCACATGGAAGCAGCTGATACCAACGCCAGAGATTATCAGCAAGCACCTTGGCAGATCTTGGTTGACAGACAGGTAAGACAGAGCCAGTGATGTGCTGGTCAATGACAACTCGCTCTGTGGGGGGAAGCTCTGATTTGTAGCATTGGCTGGTCCCTATGGTATAAATACCCCTAAGATGGCTGATTTTAAGCTTTCCACCTGATGTCACTGAAAGTGGAGCTGAAAAGAGATGCCCTCCCAGGCAGGTGTGAGCCTGCATTGTGGACCACTGGGAGATCCCCAGGACAAACATTCTAAAAGGGCACAGGGTCCTCCAGTTCTGAGAGATGCAAGGAGATAAAGACTGGTGTTTACACGGAAGTTGGAAAATATTTACTAACCCGCAGCTTGTTGAAAGCCAAGTGGGTGCAGGAGGAAAGGCCTCTGAGCAATGCACAAGGGTCCTTCACACAGGCCACAGCTGAGACCACATCCTATGAAGGCAAGGAGTCCCAGGGCAGAAGGAGACAGGAAGCCCAATTTTTCTGGCTTGCTTGAGGTTAGGTCCTGTCCTTCTCCTGGTAGAAGTAGCCCCTATCCAGAAGCTGAGGAAGAATCAGATTCTGCTGATCCACAAAATCTGGTGGCTGAGGACCTCACTAAAAGAAGAAGTGAAAGAGTAATTCATTCTGCAAGACGGACACAGCTGGATTTCTTCCCTAGAGCAGAAAAACCTGAGACAGACCTCGGGATATTGGATGTCTCTGGCCTGCCCAAGGATACCCAAGTGCTGGGTCTGGAGTCAGACGGGTATTTCTCATTGGCTTGACCCCAAAACTCCTGGAGTAGGTTGGCATACTTGGGAAACTTTTGCTTTTGGGGTTCCAAGACACAGTGTGTGTCAAGGAAGCTGCATGCCCTGGGAAGCAGGAGCCAGTGCTCTGACTCAGCCCTGGAGGGGTGTGTGGACTTGGACTACGGGCTCTTCCTCTAAGCTCTCATGAGAGAGTCACAAAAGCACTTTGCACACTGCAAAGCCTTGCGCAGAAATGAGCAACGGCATGAGAGTGACGTCCCATCCCCCCAAGACTCCTGGGAAATAGTCCCTGTTCATTAGCTCAACACCAGCCCTCATGCTGTGCCTATGAACCATCTCTGCCCTCCGGAGGCGAATCATCTCAGCAGGAAGACAAGGCACACAAGAAAGCCCGCTTTACTCATCCTCTCCCTGGTCTCTGCCACTATGGACAACACTAAAGAATGGCTCCTTACAAGGAATGACCTCTTCATGGATTCGATCTCCTAGAATATCTTAACTCCAACAGGTGGATCTGCCTGTACAACAGGGATGGTTCTGATTATTCTGTAACCTTTGAGAAACAAGGGGAGACACTGGACCAAGGGTTGATAGACTTAGATTTGGTTTTCAGCTCTACTAACTTACTAACTGAGTGGTCAAGGTACTAACTCTCCCTGGGCCTCAGTTTTCCTACCCATAAGATGGGCTTAGGGATCCTTACCCTGTGTGCCAGCCTAAAAGCATCGTCAAGAACTTACCTGAGTTTGGGGGCGCCTGGGTGGCTCAGCAGGTTAAAGCCTCTGCCTTCGGCTCAGGTCATGATCCCAGGGTCCTGGGATGGAGCCCCACATCGGGCTCTCTGCTCAGCAGGGAGCCTGCTTCCTCCTCTCTCTCTGCCTGCCTCTCTGCCTACCTGTGATCTCTGTCAAATAAAAAATAAAAAAATCTTAAAAAAAAAAAGAACTTACCTGAGTTTGTGGGTATGAGATAGGAACTCCTCATTCACATATGAAGACTGATGAGTGCTATTTGGCCGGATCACAGACCTGGATCTTTAGGAAAGAATGTAGAACATCGGGAATGATAAATATGTGGGGAAATAAAAAAAGCAATCTTTTTTCCTGGTAATTTGTGTAAAACACATATGACTGTTTATAGCAAAAACGAAAATATTTTATCGTGGGTTTTTTTGCATAGGTTGACGTAAGACATATGATAACAATAACATGAAGAATGAGAAGAAATGGATCTATGTGGCTGCAAAGTACTTAGAATGTATGCCAAATATTAGCTCTAAGTTGACTTTGAAAAGTTACTGATTTATATCATACTCTTTAAAGTAACCACTAAAAAGGTAATGCAAAGGGACACTTGGGTGGCTCAGTTGTCAAGCGCCTGCTTTCAGCTCAGGTTATGTTCCCAGGGTCCTGGGATCGAGCCCCGCATCAGCCTCCCTGCTCAGTGGAGAGCCTGCTTCTCCTTCTTCCTCTGCTATTCCCCCTCCTTGTGCTCTCTTCTATCTCTCTCTCTGTGTCAAATAAATAAATATATAAAATCTTTTTAAAAAGATTTTGAAATAAATCCACAAGTATTAGATAGAGATAAAGCAAAAAAAGAGATAAAGAGATAAAGCAAAAAAGCAGATAGGTAAATTAAAAGAAATACTAAAGTAAATATGCAATTAACCCCAAAAAAGGCAGGAAAGTGGGAACAGAGGAACTAATAACAAAAACAAAATAAAAGGTAGAATAAGCAGGAGCCAAATAAAATAGTCGATTTCAACCCTAAACCATTACATTGGTGATTATATTAAATGTAAATGGCCCCAAGACCATCCCTACATTCCACAATTCGCTAGAAGGACTCAGGGCTCAGCAGGTAGTCCTATAGATACACTGGTGTATTAAGCATACACCTGTGGACTGTAAGAAAAAAAAAAGACTCAAGTGGAGTCTGGAGGAATCCATACGCAGGCTTCCTCGTGCTCTCTCCCTCCCATGAGAGATCACCCAGATCACAGTCTTCCACCAGCCACGAAAAGGCAGCAACACGTGTGTATGTGTTCCTGCACACAGAAGCTCATTACAGACTCAACATAAAACCAAGAGTTTTACTGGAGGCTGGCCAGGCTGGCCTCTGTCTCACATACATCAAAATTCCAGACTCCCTAAAGGAAAGCAGATGTTCGGGATACAGTGAATCATCCTTATCAGCTAACCCTTGATTAGGAACACACCAAGAATCAAGTTCCCAGAAGCCATCCAAAGGTTAACTTGCAATCGGGCTTTCGGAAGGCTAGGCTTCAGTTCTATCCGTCTTTACTCTTTTCCGCA